TTTTTTTGAGAAAATGGAGGGGTCTTTCTCTTTTGGAAACAGAAGAGACTGGTTATTTAGGGAGCTAGCACAAAATCAGAAGTCCCTCCAGGCAGTACTCAGTTCCTTTGGGCTTCTTTTCCAAATGAGGTAAAAATGTAATAAAAAGCAAACAAAATAACACAGAGTTGCAGCAGTTCTTTAGGAAATACTCTTCTCGTCTCTGCATTGGCCTGCTCAGAGTCTGCCCCTTTTCTCACTTCAATATGTAGCTATGAAAATTTAGAGCTATTTTCCTGCCCACTCCCTGAAGGAATTCTCCTGTCTCCTACCCTCTTATCAAATGCAGGCATATGTTCCTCATGGAACACATCCCTTCCATATGGAAGCAGCCCAGTGGGAATGAGCTTGACCACTGCTATACCTTATAGAGGCCCAGTTATAGATCTAATCCTGAAGTGTGCTGATCATTCTCAATATCCACTGAAGCTTGTAGAACCAAGGACTTTCAGCATCTTGAAAGATCAGGACAGCAGCCAGAGTGAGCTCTCATCACTGCCAGTATCCTCTTACTATCTTTATTCTATCCCACTAAAGGCAAAGTCTTCAACACAAGTAGGGCCCAGCCCTATGTTGAGAGAGAGCATAGGCTGACTCCTTGGTGGTATAAAACAACATGCAAGAGAAAAACTACTCCTGCAAACTTGTGCATCTTGAGATCAAGACAGAATGGACGTACAGCATTTACCATATTGCAGGGGTTTTCAACCTTTTTGAATCTGTGTACCCCCAGTGGCTGGATACGGAGCAGGGGGCATGTGGCACACGGCTGGGCATGGGGGGGTGGGGGGTGGCATGTGGCTGAACGTGGAGCAGCAGCAGCCACCATGTGCAAACTTCCCCTGCCCCCCATATCCAGCTGGATGCATGGTGGCACTCAGTCCCTGCCCGCCCACACATACCTACTAGGTCCTTCTCAAGTACCCCTGGGGGTACTCATACCCCTGGCTGACAACCCCTGCCCTATTGTATAGCAGAGGTATATTAAATTCCAATGTGTGGAAACAAGTAGCCTCTTTTGTTACAGAAATACAAGGGACTCAATAAGGTGCTTGTTATTAGGAATGACTTTATTGCAATCCAGGGTAGGTTTTAGCACTTTTTAGCCACCAAAGAAAAAAGTCATCATGCATTGGACAAATAGAAAGCTAACTAGCTTCTACATGGAAGATTTAGCTAAAATCTGTACTACCTCTTTATGTTCAGTTATGGGAAGAGATTGTTTATTTATTTTACCAGCACTTCACAGTGTCAGAGTCAGAAAAGCAGAATGTTACACAGGCCCTAGAAGCACTGGAGAAATCTTCCAGCTATAAATAATACTAAGCAGCATCTATTTAATACAACAATCAGTATCTGAGTCAGAGGTAGAGGATCTAAGACTAAGATGGAACATAGATCAGTATGTCACAAAGCTGAGGCACCTCACAGCCACCTGTGAATTTGCAAATGATAGAAGACCACATATTGCTTAGCAACAGAGATGCTGTTGGCAGGGACAGAACGCTAAGTGATCTGCAAGGCAGATTTGGGGCATGCTGCAGAGACAGTGAAATGACAGAAATGGTACTGAAAGAATTAAAAGGAAGTTCCTGGAGATGAAAGCAACAAATAGGAAAAAGTACCCAAAGAAGAGAGACAAGACACTCTACAGGAAACCAGCCATGAGTCAGCATAACAAAGATTCCAATTTGTGATTACCATAGTAGCAGAAGAAAGAAAAAGTGTCCAGCATCAAGGGGGCCTGCAGAAAATATAAGAAAAGAAGACATTTTGTAAAAGCAATAAGGAAAGGTCCATCTAGTAAAAGGCAAGAAATCAGCATATTAGAAGAGTTCATATTCAGTATCAAATATGCATGAGAGCACTGCCTGACCCAGATTCAGAGACATACCATATCAGAATGAACTGAGATCATGTAACTGAAAGCAGCTGTTCTAAGACAAAGGCTACGTGTGAATTTTGGGGACTTCTGAGTGTTTCTGGAAGAAATTAGCATGCAAAATGAAATTCAGTAAAAAGTACCTGAAGTTATTAATTCTGAGATGTTGAAAACAGTTCACGTTAATTATCAAGAACCAGAGGCACTTCCCCACAAAGCTACAGATATGGTATACTGGCTGTGCAGGAGTTTTGGAAACTGAATATATTGTTAAAGACTACAAAACAAGTAACAATATTTAAGCAAATGAAGTGAAACAACTAGTTATACATGTAGGCAGGGCACCTGCCTAGTTCAACTAACATTCGTATTCTGTAGACATCAATGAACAGATATACCGGCATAGAAAATTCATTATAGAGAACAAAGTAATAGAGGGAGAAATAGAAACAGTTTATTATCACTGAGTCAGCTGCATCTCCCAATCCTCATAAAAAAATTAAGAATCTGTGTATATGTTCCTTAAAGTCCCTGTTTGGGCCAGGAACATTGTGTTAATGTTTAACTAATATCTAGTAAATTTTGTGTGAGAGTTGTTTGGCAGGTTACCACATTAAAGCAATCTTTATTTCTATGAAATGAAGGATGTTAAGAGATGTGTGTTTAAACTCCAACGCATAGAGCCACCCAGTGGGCATTCCAGAGTATATTGCTTGTGATCAAACAGAGTGCTCAGGACGCTGTTTGAAAAAAGTTTTGTTATGAGACTCAGTATTATCAGATCCTGTTGAATTTTCTAAACTTCCACATGAAAAATGTTAATGAAATGTTAATAAATATGATGATAAATACTCTTAGAAGGGGGAAAGTCCGCTGTGTTTGATCATTGCATTGTTTAGACTGATCTGCTAAGCAAAACATAATACAATTTTCTCCAGGTAAATAAATCAGGACTTTTTAAAATTCTTTTCTTAAGGCTACAGATCCAGATTCAGGACTTTGGGGAGAAGTCAAATACTCCATATATGGAACAGGCACTGATCTGTAAGTAAAAAGCTAAGTTTTTAAAAAATTAAAAAAGGAAGGTGCTACTTATAAAATATGAGTGTTAAGACAAGAGCTGACAGCTCAGACTAATGCATGTTGAGATTAATTTCCAAGGGGAATTTACCCTGGGCCTTCCATAAGTTGTTTCTATAAAATCATTTTCTACTCCTAGAGAGAGTCAAAGTCATTACACACAAGTTTTATTACTTTATGGCAGTTTACCCACAAGCCCCAAAGAGGCAAGAGACTGCTAAAGTAATAGCACACAGAATGTGAGCATATTATCAATTATAAACACTTGTAATAGGAAGGAGGATTTTTTGTGCTGGTTAATGCAGAAAATCAGCTTTTGTAGAAAAAGTTTCACTTATACTTAGTTGTAAATATGGTACAATTTCAACACTTGGTCAAATGTACAAAAACACCAATGATCAAAGGTGACAAGATCTACTGATTTCTACAGTATTCTCTGAAGTGCAATGCCAATAGCACTTTTAGCACTGGAGGTTGTTAGCATTGGATATTAGAATTGGCATCCAAAACTTGTAGCAGGAAAGCCCAGAAAGGAAAGAAAAAATTACTTGCCTTATGATTGGGCATAAAAAACACCTCATTGATTTGATCAGGTCGTCCAGGCTGCTTCCCATCTCATTCAGTATCTGGCTGATGCTCTTAACTATCTCTAATGTCACTGAGGTAAGGATTTTTATGGATGATATCTTTTACAGAACCAACTGTATAGGTGGGAAGGGTACAGACAAGTTTTTGAGTATGGAATTCCCTTCGTCAGGTCTCAGGAGTTTGTCTTTATCCCTCTCAATGATACAGTTAGTCCAATAAAAGACATCACCCACAAAAATCCTCGCCCCTCTCATTTTTTCTGGATCATCATGGGTACAACAACACCCCAACTCTGCCACCATGATATCATTGGCCACTCATATCATCCTGCCAAACCACTCAACGACACTGTCTAACATATAACTGCAAAGAAGAACTTGCAAATTCTGTTGCTCATTTTACATACGAAACTAATTAGGAAAACCAGGCAAGCCCTAGAATTCCACAGTCTAACTGGGAGATGTCCAAGTTTCTGCTGCCAACAGAAGAATATTCATCTGCAGGAGCTTCTAAATTGCATCTTATTTTGAGCTTCTCCACTAATTCTTGGCAAGCTATTAACTGGGTAGACACAAGCGAGCCAAGGGTCATATGCTGGCTTCAGACCTGTTAAGATTAAAATGTAACAGCTGGTGTCAGGAAGCTTGTGAAGGCTGCTACCAAAGATGTTTTTTAAAAGTATGTGCAAGTGTCTTCTGATTTTCACACTTCTAAAGCTGTAACGTTTAAAGTAAGAAATGAGATTTTATTCCCCTTAAGTGTGGAATTTCATTGCTTAGGCAGAATGAGGGAAAGGAAAGTAATCTCGTTAAGGCAGGCGGAAAGCACAGTAAAACTAACTCTTTCAGAGAGGTATAAGTTTATAAATTGTCACCGTGACCTGACTTCTGTCTGACTTCAGATTAATGTAGCTAACTACCTCTCTCTACTCATGATTAATGCACTGGATTTTACCTCAGGAAATCTGGATCATTGTTCCAGCTCTGCCACAGACTTCCAGAGTTACCTTGGCTGCATGACTTAGATACAATGATTCAGCTATTTCTATTAGGAATGTTAAATGAATTAAAAAGTTAGATCAGTATAATTCCTGTCATTCTGATATACATGTGGAGTGTGCCAGAACACCTCTGCCTCATTTCCTGCTGTATGAAAAGGAGTTAATAGTATTGCTTTGTGTTTAATGCCATGAGTCCTTTCTCAACTGAGGTCTGTATGTACAACTGTAGTATAAACAATGATCATAGATAACAACATCTTTTTTATAATAATGCGCAAAAGGATTTATTTTATTTTTCATTGATTACAGAGCACATAAAAGCCTTTAATTTTCACAAAACTTATATTTGGTGCCTAAACTGACAGTCCATTAAAAAAGGATATTCTGGTATCTTTAAGATAAATTCAGTCTTTTGCCTGTCGCTCTTCACCATGCTTCAGTAATTAAAAATGCACAGAATTGAACTTGCCACAGATAATTCTGAATACCTGCTACCTCCTTGTGCCAATTTATGAAACAGTAATTATTTTTTGGAGGAGATAATTACCCTGTGTTTTTGGGGTGTTAGAGGAGCCATTTCTGTTATCCATTCTGAGACACTAAGAGGCAAATATTATATGCAACACAATTTCCTCAGCTATTCAGAAAGTGTCAATCAGTCTTAATTTATTCAGGACATGATCTAATACACTGTGGTTATAAACTGAATGAATATGCGGTTCTCTAATATTTTAACACAAAGCGATTATTTTGTGAAAAAGCCATCACACTGAGCATTTCACAAGCACAAAAGCTGCCAACAACAAATGCACTGAAAGAGCAAACACAGTAATAATTTTTTTTCAAAGAAGTGACAATAATTCTCTGTTTTCAAAACAAAAAGGACAAGCAAAAAATATGTAGGGTCATTGCTTAGGGAACAGTCTCGGTTTTAGATCTGTTTTCGAAGTAATGGGATAGGGGACTCACAACTGTATGCTTTGTAGCCTTGTGTCACTGCCCAGATCTTTAAAAAGCTTACCTGCAGTAAACCATATCTGTACGGTGGCGCCTTTCTCAGTTGTTTTTTCAACTCCCCCAGTCCTGGATTGAGTTGGCACCCAATATAATTTAGAGCGGTAACATAGACGTAATGCAGCACCTTTTGTCCACGATGTGAGCTCACCCAACAAAACCCTCCCACATACCTACTTGCATTGTGGAGCAGGCAAGAAACCATGGGCATAGGGCCAGTTATGTCAGACTCATACCACATAATGATTTAATTCTGTCAGAAGCTTCTTTTTTGGCCCTTTGTTAGCCAGACACAATCTATCTAGATTAACCTGAGCTTTCATTTGTGCTGGGTATGAGTTCAGTAATCTTTGTAGGATATGTGCATCCCTGAAGTGACAGATTATTGCTTTTCATGCTTTCCTTCCAGATTTCTGATCCACCCATCAACAGGTATTATTTATACCCAGCCATGGGCTGTATTAGATGCTGAAGTCAGCTCAAAGTACAACTTCTATGTAAAGGCAGAAGACACAGAGGGGAAGTACAGCTTGGCTGAGGTATTTATTACGGTGCTAGATGTCAATGATCACCCACCAGAATTCAGTGACAACATCCAGGAAAAGACTATGATCATTGGGTCTCCAGTGAAGATAGAGGTGAGACAAGAAACAATATATGGAACTTTATGGGAGCAAATGTAAAGAGGTTTTAAAGTACCCCCCTTTGGTCCCAAAGTGTGCATAAATTAGATGGGGAGAGGGGATTTTCCTCTCCCACTATGTCAATTACTTTGCCAGTTTGTGGCAATATGTAACACAGAGATAAAACATGCACTCCTAATTTTTGCATATTGTTCAGAAAGAAAAATGTGCCCAAAATGTAAATCTATTAAAATAATAAAGCTAAGCAGCATTATTTGAATAGCTGAGTTAAGGATAAATCACAGTTGCCCATATCCATGAGTTTCCAGTGGTGTTAACCATCAAAACAAGTCAAGCTTGTTGGTAAGATTGTATGTGAATACTTGAATTTGTCCATGCCATTGGGTCAGTTCTGTAAAGACAGGGTTTTAGTTTCCAGCAGCACAAATTATCTGCTGGTAAAGAAAAAAAAAGATATTTCATCAGACATACATAATCAAGCCTGATGGCAAAACTAGACCTTTACTTAGCCAAAGTAAATACACAGGTATGACAAAGGCTCATACAGTTATATAGTGTGAGGACCTAGCTGACTGTCAGATTATTTTCAGTGAATTGAACATTTAAGAAGAAAACATTTTAAATTATTTTCCCAGTCTGTTTGCAGGAAGACTTGCAGTAAAATAGTCTAAGATGTCCACTGTTACAGAGTGGTTGATTGTATTCCCATACATAATTACTTATTTGCATTTTTTTTCTCTTTTAATCTCAAACAGAAGTTGTCTAGACTGAAAGCATTGCACTTCGGAATTTTTCTGTAGAAAAATTCAACATTGAGAGAGGGAGAAGGAGAAAATGTTACTCTAAGATCACATAGCTATGTCTCAGTAGTCTCACAGCAAATGCTTTTCCTGCCCCTATAGTATGCTAATACTTGCTCAGAAACATTGACTACTCTGCTTTCAAGCAAATTCATAAGCCATAACACACTGTTTCCAATATTGCCCCCAAATAGGCTGTAGATCAAGATGCAGAAGAACCCAACAACATTGTGGACTACTCTATTATGCAAGCAGATCCAGCCAATGTATTTGACATAGACCAAAGCACTGGGGAGATAAAGCTGAAGTCATATATCAGATCCCTGGATATCATCCACAACATCACAAAGAACAAAGACTGTATATGGTCCCTGATAGTCCAAGCCAAAGACCGGGGTTCCCCTTCATTTAGCACTACTGCAGTACTGAAGATTGATATCACAGAGGAGGTAAGCTGATGTTGGAGAGAAATCGCCCACCTTGAAAGCTGTTTAGGTAGATTTTGTGCAATTTACTAATTAACGGGCTGTCATCAACAAAAGGTTTTCCCAAGCATCAGAGCCTGACATACGGATTCTTGGTAGGCCCACAGTTTAGAACCTTCCTAGAGCCCTATTGTATAACCAGATTCTGAGTGGAGAAGTTATAAAGGTAGGAGCAGAATGCATTTCTTATTTCTTATTCTGACTACATGCCTCTGAGAGCAAATTTCATTCTGGTTCCTAAAATTCCACATTGCCAATTAATAGAGTCAACAAGGAATTGGATCAAAAGTCTTTACACAATGGTGAGAAGGTGGTGTTTGGAGAGGACTGGTGTGTAGGGAGGGAACAAATACTTTGACTAGCTACATTCTCCATTGTGACAGCATCGTGGTCAGTTGGCTTCAGTAATCTTCACAAGTCCAGTGTGTATGAGAGAGAACAAGTGCATACTCAAGAGGGTAAAGAGCTTATAAAACACTTGCTTTTGTCACACTTCACAGTGACTACTGGTGAGTGGTTGTGGATGCATGTTATTTAGGACTGTTGAGCTAATGCTGAGCCCAAGCCAACACAGAGTTCACAAGCTCCAGGAGCAGAGTGGGAACAGAAGTCAGAGCCAGAGGAGGCTGGCTTGTGTATTTGATATAGGGCTTTCATACCAGGTACTACAAGGGTTATAATTTGGTCCCAAGGAATTGCAATAGGAACTGCTTACCTAGGTATCTGTCTCAGTATGCAAGTACCATTTTTGCATGCACTAGTGCTCTTTTGTATGCACAGGCAGGGGGAACGTGTAGGTGGTGCACGTGGGTACACGTACACCCCCTGTGTGTGGTGGTGCACCCCCTGCAAAAAGGCACCACCAACAATGTCGGTGGTGCCTCTGGGCAGTCCCTGATCACCCCTGGCTGCTGCTGATCCTGCCAGTGGCTCCTGTAGGTGGTCACTGACCCATAGTCGGCACTCACCATCCCACCCCCGCTGCCGACAATGCTGGCAGTGTCTGCAGAAACTCCCCACTCCCTGCCACTGGGCTCCTGCCATTGCAGCTGGGCTTCTGCTGTTGCCTCCACACTCCCACTGCCAGTGGCTAAGCTGTGCCACCACAGCCGCCAGGGGCACGTGTTGTTCATGTGCACAGGCCTAGGTTTTTGGAGCAGAATGAGCCAAAAGAGATTTTGCTGGTATAAAGTAAGCACACTCACTTTAGAAAGTTTGTCTTAGCCTTAACTTCTAAAAGGATCTTGCTTCTGAAAAACTGAAGTGGTTCAATGACCAACATGCAGTGTTTCTAAGTCAATGGTAGCTTTATATAACACACACCACAGGCTAGAGGCAACTATTCATTAAGGGCATCCTTTATTCCAACAGCTAAATAAGATCATAATAACCTATTACCAGATTTTTCCAAGTAGGACATAGTTGTAATTAATGAAACGATGCCTTTAATGAATCAAAATAGATGGTAAAAATACCATGCTGCAGCTACTGCAGGCAATCACAACTCTCTCACCTATATCTTGGTTTTATCTATCTGTTCATAAGCTACACATAGACAGGCACACAACTGTGAGGATATCTATCACCAGAGAAGATTTCACCACCGCTGGGTAGTGCTTAGCTTTGACATTAGATTTCTACAGAAAAGCAAAATGAAAGAGCATGCCACTTCTAGCTCTCCCTGCTCTCCTGAGGAATGGTTGATGAGATGCCACCCTGAGGGGACTGACTAAGTACCAGGCTTCAGTGAGGTGACTGTCTACCTGGATATTAGCATAGACCACTGATGAGCAGGGATTAGAAAAAAGGAGTGTATGAAAATATGAGTAGTCAAGTTCTCACCTGTTTATTTCCAGTACTTAAGGAGAACAAGTTTCCATCTCTTTCTCCCTCTGTCCCCTTGGGAACTTGCTTCCCCAGAAACCCACTTCTTCTGCATGTTCTCTGGCTGCTGATCTAAAGGCTCATTGGGACTATAAAGTGGGAACAGCAGGAAAAGCTAATGTTTTGCTGAAAAGTAGCCCCATCTCCTAAGGATAAGAGAATGGAGTGCCCCTTTCCTGCATCCTTCCTTCTTCAAGAGAAGTCTGGCCCCTAGCTAGTTCTTCCATTAGAAGGGGAAAGAGGGAGTCCTGCCTCCAGTTTTCCCCTCTCCAAAGAGAGTCCATAGGTGAACAGATTAGGTAGTCTCTCCACTCCTGGTACTCCCTAGGGTAGGTATGTGGATGCAGAAAAGGTGGTGAAGGCAGTTAGAAAAACAAGGGCTCTTCCCCTAGGCAGTTCTGAATCCTGCACATGCACTTACACATTCACTTGTTTGATTGTCTATAAACCTGCTTTGAGACATAGACTCCTCATCCTTCACCTTCCCTTTCCCTTTATTGGTAGGTGCACTACAAAGGCTGAAGTGCCATTCCTCCACATGGTATCAGCAATCATGATCATACATTAAGAACTGAGGAACTCCTCCTCCTAATTTGATCCACTTAAATGACAGCCAACTAGCAAATGGAGAATGTTGAATCTCATCTATTTGGACCATCTCCAAGTAAAATCAGCCTCAGTGTTCTGTCCCTCAAGTACTGCCTTTGTGGACTTTTAGTCCATTATATTGGGACTAAAAGCAGCATACATCAATGGGTATTCACCAAGAGGAGAACAGTTGGGAAAAAACAGACATAATGATCACAAGCTCCTAGAAGACTGTTTCAGACTCAAGATTAGGAAAAACTTCTTCACAGCTAGGGTGTCCAGACTGTGAAATAAGCTCTCTCCAGAGAGGGTATAACCGCCTACCCTGGAAATCTTCAAAAGGAGACTGGATGGTCACCTTGCTGGATGGTCACCTGACCCCAGTTGTCTTCCCTGCTTGGTGCAGGGGGCTGGACTCGATGACCTTCCGGGTTCCCTTTCAGCCTCACAATCTATGAATCTATGAATATTCTACTATCTAATTATCCCACATAGTTGCCTTACACAAAAATTTTTACACAGTGCTCAACCACATTTTATATCATTACTTTAAAAATATGCTCCCAGTTCCACCTTGCCTCTGAGAGAGATTCAGTCTTCAGGTACAAAAATCTTTTTCATGGGTTGTGATGGAAGAGAGAGTTCTCAAAATCTATTTATGGCCAATGTTCTTAATCACTTTTCTGTCCCTGAAAGATTCCATCTTATCCACCACCCTTTTGCTTTCACTCATAGCCTGTGGAAGATGTTGACATAATCTAAAAATCTATTACAATACAACACAATCTTAAGCAAGAGTACATGAAGGAAACAGTCCTTTCTAAAGCTTATGGGTACATAGTCACTTAAAGCCTATGTTTTTGCATACATCATCTTTTCTTTGTTCACTCTAAGTGCACTATATCTTTTAGTTATAAGGCTGCATGTTGGGTGATTTTTTTATTAGTACTTACGGATAAAGGGCTTTTTTGACAGCATAACTAGAGGTTTCCTGCAGTGTTAATCACACTGAGTAATTAAGGAGGCATATTTTTCTGATTAACATTTACTATTACAATTAGTGCAAGACTGTACCCTTCGAGATAGAAGCCTGGCAGCTAAGTTCAGCAGTATAATACATCAAAAAGACCTTTTACTCCTGGAATAATACAGAGATAAAATTTTCCAGAGGCTGTTTAATTTAATGGAGTCTGTTTTTATGGAAATTAGTATTGATTGCTCCTGACACTTTTCTTAATCTCCTATCCTTGCTGAACAGAATAAGAAACAGATGCTGTAGAAACCACTATTTTCTTCATGTTCAAAGGCCCTGTTTAAAATGTATTCCCCAGAGACATGTTTTTCAAACAGCTGTTTAAAGCTAGGCACCTGTGCCCCGTATCTTTTCAGCTGTTCCATTAGTGGACACCTGTGCCACCCATTATTGTCCCAAGGGGTTCTACAAGGATATGGTTCTACAAGGATACCTTTACACATAGGATTGAGGCTTATGCATGCCAAGGCATGTAAAGTTAGTGCTATCTTTTAAGAAATTAAAAGGTTAAGCCGTTTATTTAGACCTACCTGTAAATATTGGTGATGCCTCATTTTAGGAACTTGTATTTGAAAGCTTCAGCCTAAATCATTTATTTTATATACAAACTGAGATAAAAATGATAAACTAAATTGGATATTCTCCCCATCTCTGCATCCATTTCCATGAGTGTTAGGGTAGGTGAGGGACACCAGAGAGTTTTATCTACTATCTTAGAGTCCAATTATTACTTTCCAAGTGTTTATGCTGTTCCCTTGCATGAATGTGTGACAACACATTCAGAGGAAAGCAGCTTGCAGTGGTGATACAGATGGTAACTCATGTGATTTAAAAACACGCATTATGCCTCAGAAAGACCTAACATAAAATGAGACCGCTGCTCCTTGGGGAAAAAAAGTCTGAGTTGCCCATAAACTTGCAGACATCCACATCATACCCAACCCCTGGGTACAAAGATGTAGTGTATTTTCAACAATACTCTACACAAACTAAGAAGTATATATATGGTCACATACAATATGAGAGGCCAGATGAAAGAGTAGGAGTGTGGCTATCTGGTGCTAAACAGGATATGGGGGAATTAAGAAAATTAGTCAACATTTCATTATGCAAGTGGTCATATTAACGTGATCTAATTCACTCCTGCTCTTTGAAGGCTTAGTTGTGGGAAAGGAGAGGAAAAGGTAGTTATTAGGGCTGTGCAAAACTTTGGTCCCTGATTTGATTCTGTGGAGACTCGGACCGATTCAGTGGCTGAATCTCTAATCCAAATCGAATCAGAGGACCCTTGAAACTCTCCAAATTGAATCGGAACCCTCCAATTTGGAGAGACTCAGAAAGCTTTGGAGATTTTGACATAGGGACAGCTTTAAATGTTTTTCCTACATACCTCTGAGTAGCAGGGGCTCATGAATGCTGCAATGCTGGGATGCATGGAGTGTCCCACAGAAGCACAGGG